CACCGGTGGGAGGACGGTGAGGGGTGTCTCCCCGGAACGGGGGGAGGGGGGGAGGGAAAAAGGGGGGTGGGGGGGGGGGATGAGGGGGGGGGGGTGGAGGCTGAAGCACCGCTGCAATTTAAGTGTGGGCAGGCTGCCAAGTGCCCGAATTTTGATCACATGACTATGGGGGCGCTGCAACAGGCATCAGCTGTAAGTCACTTTTTTCAGTGCATTTGTAACTTCGAATGGTTGCTGAACGAATGGTCATAAGTTGAGGACTATCTGTAAGTATCACATTTCCTTCAAGTCAAAGGACATGTTAGATAGTTGAAACATTTAAGGAAAGAAAACACCATTCTTAGCACAAGTTGTATTGAGACCTTTACAAAACCAGCTAAGAAAACCTTTTTCTAGAATTCATGTACGTGTCCAAGTATACACTTTTACTGCTGACTCATCAGAGACATATGAAAGCCAAGCTGTAAAATATTAAGGGCTACCATTTCTCTTTTAATACAGTTCAAAAGGATAATTTAGCTTGCTTCATGGCACTTCTCAAACCACTTCTGTCATACTTGATAACTCCTAAATGCTGACCTCACATCGGACATAAGAATCAACTAACTCTTATGCCTTAAAGGCTTGTTAGCGATTATACAGCATGGAAGACAAAGAACAACAATCAAACACTAGCCTCCAGTCAAACAAATGTCAGAATATACTTACCATTGATAACAATAAGGTCCCCCAAAGGCACACAAGTAAGGGCAGCAAAGCCATTTTCACAGAGAGGGTGAGCATACTGTAGCTTATAAACACCTCTGCTCCGCCATTTGTCAGGCATTCTTGTTGCCTTTGACTCTGTTCCCTATGAATAATAAAAGAGGAATTTAACAAGGCAGACTTTAAGAGTAGTACTCTCACAGAACTAAAACTGACCACAGATTTGTTAGTGTTTACATTAGGACTACTCAAATCATAGGAGTAGTACTCTCACAGAACTAAAACTGACCACAGATTTGTTAGTGTTTACATTAGGACTACTCAAATCATAGGACTTTGATTATGGCAACAGTGCAACTAAAGCATTTCGATAGGCACACTCAGACCTCTCTCAGCCAATCAGGCAAGAAATTACAAGACAGAGTTACAGGGAGCCACAACTCTAATTAGGAGATTTATTGTTACAAAGTTAATGAAGCCATAACAAAAGAATTCCTGTGGCCGCTGAGTATCAAGTGAAGCCCTATATATCCTGAAATCAAAATTCTCATCCATGTGCCTCTTCATCCTGTCTGATTTTAACAGGCTAGAAGCCACTCTCTTTGGGGCAGAAGAGACAGTGTCCACCTACTTTGAGAGCTTTCACAGGTCATCTGTGCAACTTTTGCAGCCAAGCCCAGCAAAAAGCACTCCCAATAACTGGCATAGCCTGACACCTTATTACTCATTATATATGTATACAATTTGATAACTACTTTTCATTAATATCATCATCTGATACATTTACAGCTGATAATGAGGCTAAATGGAAATTATTTCATGAATCAAACTCAAAGCAACAAATAATATTTGCCAAAAATAGTACTAAAATATTAATTCTACATATATAGCTGCGCTGGATAGTTTAGAGAGTTTCAATAAATCTTTGATAACTCACATTTACTATCCCAGTTCTAATTAGCCTAATTAAATATTTTTAATGTGGCCAGACTCTACATATGAGAAAGGGGAATAAACATACCATTTTATTCACCTTCCATGGGCTAAAGGCAAATGTCTGCAAAAGAACTTGTCTAAAGAGCCTCCATGCTAAGATTCATTGAAAAGGGATAGGCAACCAAACAGTATTATAATGCCCCTATTCAAATTTATGTTACAGCAACACCTAGAATACGATATACAGTTCTGGTTTCCACATCTCTCACTAGATAATGTGCTGTGCATTAGCTGTGTTCTGCATCAATGGATATGCAGTACAAATTATGACTAATGCAGAGCAGTGTGTGGCAGAAACATTCTGGATTGGGATGACCAATCTATTCATAAGAGTAGAACCTTTATCAGCAAATCATCCAACATTATCTCTTTACTGGCCTAAGATCTATGTCAATCATGAAAATTATGAGAGAGTTGATGAGAAATGGAATTCAACCAAATCTGGTGGGGCACATGGTATCCACACATACAGAAAGCCTTTGTTGAAATTCACTTACTTGAGGTATATATCCTGTTTCCATCATAATAAGATGGATCAAAACTATCAAGGCATCATTGGCACTGGTACATTCTGCAGAATGGTACAGGGTCTGAAGAGAGTGTGGTACTTGCCCATCTGTAGCTTCAGAGCAAAGCATTGGCTCCGAAGGATAAGAACCTGCAGCTTCTTGAAGATCAAAATCATCAGATACAGCCTCTGAAGCAAATGCTTGGCTGGATTCTGCCTTGAAAGGATAGCAGCAGAAACAAGAGAGCATTAAAAAGTTATATTTACTTTTGTAAAATGATCAAGAGAAAAGCAAAGGGTTTCTGTGAAAAAAGGCAGTCTCTAAAAATGATGAAGCAGTTCCAAGCTTCTCAGTATTTTCCCTACTAGACACAAAAAGAATGTCTTCATATCTTACGGACTTACCGTATTGTCACTCATCTGAACATTATCTTGAACTTTATAGCCTGATAGATGTCCATAGTGTCTTTCACTGTCTAGGATTTTGGATTGGTTGTGACATATGGCTGAAGTGGATGGTTCATGATTATTCTGTTGTGCACACAGGGATGAGGTGTGAGTTGGAAATACTCTTGATTCTGCTTCAGCATCTTCCAATATCAAACATATCAAGTCTCCTGAAACAATCCCAAATGATGCTAGCGTTTCCTCATCTCCAGTAAGGGAGTCTTTGTTGTTCAATGTTATTGCAAATTTGATGTCAGAACTGTAGGGAAAACAACATTAGGCACACAGTTGTACTGCAGAACATGCACCAACTACAGACTAAATGATGTCCTTAATTATCTAATTCCATGATTAACTATAACGTAAACAATAAGTATAGTCACTAAAACTGAGACCAATCTCAAATTGATCCATTTTCACCTGCATCTATTATGCTTATGTTAGCCCACTGTAAATATATACATGACTAGTAGTAAAGACAAATACTTTTTTCTCAGAACAGTAAGTCTAATACATATTTAAAAGTGGTCTTTGGCATATTAAGAGTACCTAAATTATTGTGGCAAAATACTGAAGAGGAAGTCCATGTTTTTCTAAGAATGTTCTCAGTCTTATTAAATTAAGAAAAGATTATCAATGCTGTTGAATTTGCCTGGAAAGCATTATAAATAGTATCTAACCTATGACTTGCCTTTCAAAATTGTTATTTTAAGTTATGCATGTAATTTTTAATAAAAGAAGTTAACAGGAACCAAAGGAAACCTTTCACTACCCGACACTTTCCATTCTCCTTCTCCACAAAACCTAAACGGATCATTTCACCTTACAATATTTACAACTCACCTCTGAACAAAATAAGGGATATTTTCAATTTCAACAATAACAAAATCAAAGTTTTCACACATAAATTTCCCAGTGACTATTAAATTACAGAGCACCTCTGAGGAAAACAGCTATATTTAATTTTTAAAATAATCACAGCTGTTACTTTTTTCACTGTACACTCAAGACAAATCAATCCCATACCTCTAGCATGCCTTGCCATCTGAGACCAATCAAACCCTCCCACTAGAGGTCTCACAGAAAAGCTATGAAACCACAGCACCCACTCTCCTGGGATTCCAGAACACCCTTAAGACCTGGCTCTATTCCCAGGCCTGGGATTAATGTGGGTGTGATTTATTGGCTGAGCCTCTGTCATATTGTTTTTTGTACC